TTCGCTGTAGTTCATTTAAACATCGAAATTTCTGTGATATTCCCGCATCGAACTTTTCACCTAGGCGATACGACGGAGATGTTATCCACGACGTTGAAAGAAACAAAAGGATATGATTTTTTATAAATGACACGTCCGCGCGAGTGAAAAGAAGGCGCACATTTTCCCTCACTTCTGCACGGATGTGTTGCGCGCGAATAGGCGATACTTAATCCTCTTATCTTGAGGTCGTTTTATCTAGCTATTCGCCAGCGTGTGTTCACCTGTCGGGATTACATAAAGGAAAAAAATCGGTGACTAAATTGTCTCGCTGGGTATCGATGGGCGGTAAAAATGATTCATCTTTCCCTATCTTTCGCCGGGTTATCAGATATATCATTGAAAAAGTAAAGACATTATCAAAAATGATTTTGCTTTTGATATTTTAATATATCATGGATAATAACATACAGAAAAAAAGGTTTGGTTGAATTAACTAGAATTCTGGAAAATGAATGATCTAGAATTCTAGTTATATAAATTTACAAGATTTCTGATTAAATCTATTCAAATTCTAGTTGAAATAACCAACTTAATAGATTTAATCAGAAATCTAGTAGATTTAACAAAAATTCTGAATCGTTCATTTTTCACTAAAATTCCAATTGACTTCAATCAAACATTTTTTTTCCGTGCATAAATAATATAACAATAATAAACGATTTATTAGGATCGTATAATGTGAATGCATAATAAGTAAGAAATGTAACGGTCTAAGCTGGATCTTAAGTGCTTTAAATAATTCCATGTGAATTTATATACTACATTTGTAGTGGTATATAAATTCACATGGAATTATTTAAAGCACTTAAGATTCAGCTACAACTATTGTAGGCTTCATTTCTTACTTATATGTTATGGATATAAAGTGTACATGTCATGGATATTAGAATATATAATTTAAAATTATATAGTATGTAGAGTATATAATTTAAAATTATTGCAGTATCTTATTAACCATCACAATTTGCTTTTGATATTATAATATATTTATAGATATATTTATAGATATATATTAGTGATAAAGAGACATTCACGAAGGGAGAGAAATTACGTGAAATTATTTGCTTAATTCGTAATCACTATAATTATATATTTAATAGCGCACAATTTTTTGTTTTTATATTGTTTTTATATACGTGATTGTTTTATGTATAAAATGAATTTGTATTTATATTTTGTAGTACGTAAATACATATATACAATAGATGCAAGAGAACAATTTGTAACATTAGTAAACAAATAAAGCATCCAAATTGATGTTGGGCGGAATGTCATTGAATACATTATGATGATAATTATTACAGTATCAGTGGTATTTATTCGAAAATCATTTAATCGGCAACATACACGATGAAAATCAGACTAATCAGACTAATCAGTCAATGACACAAATATAATTATATGATAATGAGAATCATGTTAGAAGAACATATTTGTACAAGAAATGACGTAAAAACTGCTCGATAAGTCCTGATTTACACAATGCTTTTTTATTAGTAGCTATTAGTATGCTCTAGTTTTCCAATAAATTAACAGCTAAAAATAATAATTTGATAAATTATACTTTTCAATTATTAATTTTCTAAAAAAATATATATAATTTATAAAAAATATTTTTAGTTCGCTAGAAGACTAGCGTGCTGGTTACTAATAAAAACGCATCGTGTGAATTAGACCTAAGGCCAAATTCAAATCTACATGTTAAATACATGAATGTTATTTGTCACGCAAGCTATCATTTTATGTGATTTCAATTTGTATCATATATCCTGATATATGCCACATAGTAAAGATTGAGATAAACCTGTAT